AGAGCTTAACTAGCACACTATAAAAGCACCATTTCTAAAGGTGACCATACGTTTTGTTCAAGTTGAATTATCGCTTGTAACATTCAACATTTGTTCTTGTACAACAATATCCTTGGAAGTTCTGAGTTGAGCAGAAAAATGAGTTTAGAAGTGCATGGATGTGATATTACGTTATTTTATGGTCACGTGGACCGCATAGTTACGGCGCAGGATGACTTCAGTACTATATTATATTGTATTTTGTGATGCTGTGCGATAACTATTGGTCCAATCTGAATGAAATAAAGAGAAAGAGCAATGGTTGGGCTTTTCCTCATATAAAAAGTAGCCATTAAGCAAGCAAAAAAATATGGAAAATTAATAGAAAATTATCAAAAAATTTTGAAGGTTGATTACTCGTAAATTTTTTTCTTCATATTTTGGACTTCTCATGGCTTACAGTTTTTGTCCGATCTCAAAATGCTTTTGCCCCCGAAACAGAACGTTAGTATGCGCATAGAACTACTACCACTCTTTTTTTTTTTTAATTCAAAATATTTTAACGATTTTTTTTTTTTTTTTTTTTTTTTTTTCCAGTTATGTAACATGTGATAATTTTGAAACAGGTTATTGAATTTCCAAATTGGAATACATTGTTTTGTTTATATGACATAGAGGTTTAACAATTCTCTTTGGTCAAATTAAATAAAATTCAGTATAAAGATATGTAATAAGGTACTCTTTCATCCTGCCAAATTTCATTAAAATCTGTAAGACCATTTTCTATTTTGCAACCAAAAAGTGAAAATCAGCATTTTCTCAGGGACGGTCCCCTTAAAAAGAAAAACACATTTTCCCTCCAATTCAAGGAATAAGAAAATCAGGTTTGGTCACTAGGGCCTACTGATAGACTCCTTGCCAGCGGTAGTTTTTTGTGAATTTTGTCACCATCGGATGGCTCCACATGTACTCAACCACCAAGTAGTCTATCAGTAGACCCTAGTGACTGCTCTTGACAACTGACTCCTTGGTGACTAAACACTTATAGAGACATGTATGTGTAAAGACAATAGAGGAACTTGTATTACAGTGGGCATGGCATGTATTCTTGCCATCCAGGCCGATTAGGCTAAGTCATTTGCTGAGTGATTTAAGAGGCTGTTCCAGGCTCTAATGCCAATGTATATCAGGCTAGAAGCTGTGCATCATTTATAACTTTTCTTAGATCCTTTGACTTGACTACTGTTTAAAGCCCAAGGCATTTAACCTGTTACTGCCTGATCACGGGTATAGCTGTCATAACAAACCATGTGATCTGTAGGGTATGGCTATACATGTGTTGACAGGCTAGAGCATGTTGAGCGGGAAGTTCTACTACATGTAGCGGACTCCTGCGCCCAGAGGCTGGACATTGCCAGAAATTACCGGAGTCTATTACGCTGAGAGATTTCTAATACCAGTCACAGCAGGGGTTAATTAACATTTCTAATGTGGCTTACATGGCAATGTCCTCTTTGCCTTAATATTATATTAAGGCTTCCTAAGAAATTATTGGTTTGGGCCTTCAAATAAACAAGTGCAGTTTCAGAAATTTAAAATTCTGTCCTCTGAACTTATTTAACCTTATTTTAGTCCTCGTATTCTATGTTTTGTATTATCTTGTTTGTTTCCTCCTCCTCCCTTTTTAAATGTTGGAAACATATATTGATAAACCAAAAGAAATCTTCAGGTGTGAATCTTCATGGACCTCATGTTCAGATAAGTGATTTTGCTCTTATTGTCTCTTTGAAGAGACAGGTAACTAATTTTGTTTTTTCCACTTTTGTCTCTACTTTTTGGGTAGCATTTTACACCCCCACTGCATTAGTCATAAAATATGAGGTTTCAAATTATGAAAACCCTATTTTTATGATGTGCTGTGAGGTTGTAGGTTCCCTCTTGCCCAATAAAAAGATATATTCTGACTTACAAAGTGGGAGACAGATGGCACAGTGTGTGGTTTACAGATGCATTAGCTCAATTGTTTTGTGACAAACATAGGTGTGCCCTGTATTCAGGATATTTTTCTTTTGCAGGAAGTACTTTTTATGGCCAGCATGAATGGCATAAAGCATTCTACACTCCCACTGCAAGTCATAAAAATAGGGTTTTCTTATCTTCAAACATCTTATTTTTCATTGGAGGTTTAGCACAAATTTCAAAAGTGTTTAATGCTTTGGTATGTATCAGTTTCCATGGTTGATTCCCTGTACTCACAAAGAATATATGCATACCTAAGGTATTAAAGAATAGAAAAAGGAAAATCACCTTACACATGCTTTTGTATTCAATTACTCTGAAACTCATACATACATGCACGCACACACAAGCACACACATACACACGCACACACATACACGCACACGCACACGCACACGCACACACATACACACACACACACATATATGCACACACACACATATATGCACACACACACACATATATGCACACACACACACATATATGCACACACACACATATGCACACACACACATATGCACACACACACATATGCACACACACACATATGCACACACACACACACAACTATACGCACACGCACACACATACACACACACACACTATATGCACACACACACACATATGCACACACACACACATATATGCACACACACACACATATATGCACACACACACACATATGCACACACACACATATGCACACACACACATATGCACACACCACACATATGCACACACACACACAACACACACACACACACACACACACACACACACACACACACACACACATAGCACACACACACACACAGCACACACACACACACAGCACACACACACACACACACACAACACACACACACATATGCACACACACACACATATGCACACACACACACATATGCACACACACACACATATGCACACACACACACATATGCACACACACACACACATGCACACACACACACACACACACACACACACACACACACACACACACACACACACACACACACACACACACACACACACACACACACACACTCACTTACTTTCCCTTGATTTTCAAGGGGTGGGGGTCTTTTCTTAATATTACTGTTGTTGATGATAGCAGCCTAAGAAAGTATAAAGCTATCTTGTAAATTCACGAAATGGGGATACCAGGAGAGGTCAGGAAGCCTTCCTTACTGACTCATTGGGGACTAAGCACAAAAACTATACTGGGCAGTGAAAATTACCCCAGTGGCTTAAGATACTTTTGGTTGAAGTTATTTTAGTTGTCTTGATATAAACTGATAAAAAAATTTAAAAATGTTATTGAAAGAGTGGGGAATACAATAACTACAACCTACAGGGTAAACAGCAACCATATAGCATAGACATACAGATATAAAACATTCACATACAAGGCAGGTAGGAGATAGCTAGATGTTTTATGATTTTCTCACAGTGGATTTTATTAACCCTTCCCTAGGTTGTCGCACAAATTTACAAGTTATGTGACAATCCCATGTTCTATGGCCGAGGACAAGCTGGACACTTACAGTTTCTGAGAGATATAGAAGTAATGAGTGATCACCGGCACACATCTTTGAATTGCATACGATGGCTCCCATACCCAGGCCAAGGGCTCATCTACGGCACCAACAGGGGACAGTTAAATATCCTACGTTGAACCATCAGATTATGTTGGTCTGCAAGGTTGGTTCATAAATGTTTCACTCATGCAAGCATTGTGAAACAGTAGTCCATCATACCCCATTAACAATACAAAGACCTGTGATATATGAAATTGTCACTGTAATAAGTAACGTATCTCCAGGTTGATGTACTTTTCTTTTTATTTTTTTTATCGGAGGGCAGTAATTCAGTTTACATATATATTTATTTGTCTTAAGCATTACTTAGAGTCTAGGTTTAATTGCTATTGAAATTTACAGATAGTACTGTAAATTTATTCTTTTAGACCAGATAATTTTCTGTTGTTGAAATGTTTGTGTTTTATGAAACTTGTTAACCACCAGAAGGATCAGAAGTAGCATAGTATATGTCCAGAAGAAGACCACTTTTTGTATCCTTTTCCCTTTAGTATGATGGGTTTGCAGATTTAAGATTGTAAATTGGATTACTCTTTCTACTTGATCATTACTGTGTATGGTAGGTATTTATTTAATGTTAAACATTGCAATGAACATTTAAGTTATTTATGTGCCATATAGATATGGAGAATGTTATTAGAATGTATACAATGTAAAGATATTTTATGTTTTAGATCCATCAGAAGGAGCAATGATTTTTTAAGGAGACAAAAAAAAACAAAAATAAAAAAAACAAAAAATAAAAACAAAACAAAAAAGTTAACAAATTTTTCATGTTAAGATAAATAGGATATTAGTATTTACAAGTATCACTGAATTATCTGTATACTGATATACACACTGTATACGGTAATAGAGGAAAATATTAAACTAGATTTACATATCTTGTTTGAAAGTTTAATATTTTTTTGTGTTGTTAAATGCATATATATTTTTTCTTGTTTTATTTAATCATCTTATAATGCAACTGCTTACATTGTCATTGGTCAGTAATATATGGTGGAGATGTGTAAATGAATTTTAAATAGTACCAAAGATTTGTTTTATCTTTCTGTCTTTTTCCTGGACTTATCTATTAGATATTTCCTCAGTTGTTAACAGGAAATGACACACCACCCCACAGTTTATCCTCACTGCTTATACAGGAGAATGTATATAAATTATCAGTACCAGTGGAATACAAGTTATTTACTCTTTTTATATGATTTATAATTTCCTATTCCAATAGAACTATGCTTTTGGAGTATTATGACTGGAATTAAAATCCTGAGACCATCCCACATATATTTAAATACAAAAGTTTAGTTTGTTCCCACACTTTTAGGCCTACAGTTTGTTTCTTCATCTCTATGTTCTTGTAACAGAATTACATGCACTAAAGTAATTTTAGATAAAAGTGCATGTTTGGGTTCAAGTTACATTGAGGTTATGGCACAATGATGTTTTACATATTCTTTGTTTGTAGGGTTTTTTTTTTCCTTTTCTTTTCTTTTCCCTTTCTCTTCTTTTCTTTCCTTTTTTTCTTATCCTTAGGCTGTATTTTCATGTGTTATATGTGTGGGCAATATTTCATCTCTGTTTCACTTCTGTACAGTAATCATGTGCTTATACAGGAAATTGTATTTAAGTATCAGTACCAGTGAGGTGGAATATATTTTCCCTTTTATATGTAATGTATTATTTTCCTTTTACACAGAATCATGCTATGGGTTTATAAGAACATGATACTGCATTTAAAGGCCAAGTTACTCTTATTCGACTGATTTTTAACTCAATAGTTGCATTATTCATAAAGATGAATTATTGGTGTGTTATTCAGCAACTAGATGGATTTATAGCTAGTTATATTTCTGTTGTGGTTTTTTGTCATAAATATAATTTATTTTGTTACTTGGTTGTTTGACTAGACAAAGTAATACTGCATTATTTATAAACCTAAAAGGCCATGTATACACAACCATTAGCACCAAATTTCAGAATAGCTGCCAATGACCAGGTTAGTGAACACCACAGATTTTCTGTGTTGGGATTGCAGTTCTCAGCAAGTTTACTGGGAAAGAAGTTGCTGATCATGCTATCCTTGCTACTCATATTTCATAATATTCATTATTGACATATACGAATTCACAGGTGCAGCCAAGGTCATATGTTTCTTAACACTGGGATCAGGGATGGATGGCAACCTAGGAAAAGATGTTTTTTACCCAGTGCTAATGGGAGCTTCATATACTAAAATAGATCACACACTGGGCAAATTCAGCTACTCAAGGGAAGTTAGGAGCATGTAATTTTCCCTTTCTCTTTGTGTTTGGCTAAAGCATATATACTTATAAAATGAACGAGGCTAAAATGTGACTTCAAGCCTACTTTTGAATGGCTGTAGCTCCTCAATCCTTGCAGCAATGGCCAAACAAGCTAAGAACTGTTTAGTGCAAACAACTTGCAGTGGGCTCAGCATGTGTGGTATAGGTGTACATGCCACCCTGAAAAGAGTCCAGCCATGCCATGGCATATATATACATGCCACCCATTGGCAAAGAATTAGTGAATGAAAGAGTGAATGAATGAATCCACGTTTTTAATGAATGAAAGAATGTATTAATTGCATGCCCAAGATCTTAGCTTAAAGATTAGCTGGAAAAGATATTCTCTTTAATGAAATATTGAGTAATACATAATGTAATCTGTTTATGGAACTATTAAGTTATGATTATCAACAAAAATGGCAAATCAGTAAGAAGTAAAAAGCAGTAAATGTAAGGAAGATGAAGATTTTGTGAATTTATGCGTCATATATTAAGTCCATTAGTCTACAGTCCACTGTAAGTCTTGAGGGCAAAGGAAAACTCATAATATCTTCTACTGTTCCCTTTCAAAAGATAGGAGATCATCCTTAAATGAATGCCCGAGTCCATGGCTATGGTCTAGACTTTGTAACAGTTTCCAAGGTCTGTATGTGTTTTTGTCGCTATAGCTTGTGGCATGATGGTATGTAATCATGGGAAGTCATATCTTGTATATAAATTATTAATATGGTTTCACCTAGCTATTTCAGTAATTTTTTATTATTTTCTGTTGAACATGTGCTATAATTCAGATGTATTTCCTCTCCTTTAAGTCCCTTACAGTGTCTAATACAGTTGAACACTGTGTGATGATGTCCAGTTAACATTATTTTTGTTTTCACTTGCAAGTGAAAAAATACATTATAAGCTCCTGTGACACCAGACAGGCAAAACTATATTGTACTTTTATTGCAGACATGAAATTTCACTTACTGTTTCAGTTAAAGCTGTGCTTTTCTGAAATATAAATGAGGTACAATAATGACATAAATTAGTGTTATGTATGATATAATGTTTTGTTTTCACTGACTATAATTTTTTTGTTGATTGAAGTATAACATTGACAAATGCTTCTCAGACTCTTATCACATTTATTATGACCAACCATAAATGTCTGCATCCATACATAAAAAATATTATTTACAGTGATCACTATACATGTGTTGCCAGACATCACCAATGAAGACCAGGAAATGTAGAGAAATATATAACCACAACTGCACAAGTTCAAGTATACACAATGATTATAGCTAAGCAATTACTCTTGCCTTACATACAAGGGTTATATATATATGTATATCTAGGCTTGTTTTATGTTAAATATTTGTTTTTGTACGTAGGAGGATACCACCGTATGTAAATGTTCATAATATTTCCTGAGATGGCCTTAGACTTCTAAATTTCTTGCCCTTGATGCCATGTGTATCTGAACTCTACTCTAGAGGTGGGTTGGTCTCTCTCAGAGATAATTATCGGTAAGCCTGTTTCATGAAGACTAACCATCCCTTCAAGCACTATATGGGTGATGTCATGTTGAATAAAAAATAATAGAATATGAATGTTTTTTTTTTCTTACCAACTTTTATGTATCTATCATAGGGATATGTGAACACTTTTTTTTTTATTTGGCTTCTATGTCAGTAAATAGAATGTTCACATGAAGATAGATAAATCAGTAAATTTTGTGCATTATCTACACACACGCACACCCATAACTACAACTACACATGCACATACAACCAAGGTCTATATACTTACACAGACCTTGCATCAACCCCAATCCCATGTCTGTTATTGACATGAGGGGTCACTTTTTGCACAGTTCTCTTTTCTCCTTTTCCTTTTTATTCTCTTCTTCAATTCCTTCTATCCACTTCCTGAGATGTGAAAGTTGTGTTGAAAGGATATAAGGTTGGTTCTGTACCAGTCATGAACGGCCTGGGGGAACCACGGGCAATGGTTTCCCGTTTAGTTGTCTAGCCCTTACCCCTCAAAGGGACCCTGAGGCATGGACTGTTTCTCTCCCCAACATACTCCAAGCTTACCATGGCCAGTAATAAGAATTTGCACCTGTATTAGGGGCACTGATGCCCCTTTATCAAATTGCCCCACAGATTTAAATTCTCCGATTCAACCCCAGGATCTTCTCTGAACACTGCTACTATTTTCCCCTCCTCAGGATTTACTATCACCTTCACTGCAAATCATCCACCCAGGTCAATACTTATTCCTCCTCTCCCAGCATCCACTACTTCATTTCCTCCACTACTACCCCATCCTCCTAAGCACTCTTTCGCTCAACGCTACTCCAATATACTCTGTTTAGCCCAACCAAATAGAATCAATTTTTCGTATTCCACTCAACAGCTCCTTACTCTGACTACATTCTTCTCTTCCAGCAATGCCTCCAAAAACAAGTAGGCAAAGTTTCCTTCTGCAGCCGCCCTGATCGTTCCCACCTTTTCACAGTTACATACACATCCCAAGCTGAAGCCTTAACAACCCTAATTTTACTTCACTGGCAAACATTCCTGCCCTGCCTCGTCACTCCCAAAACTGTCACCATCTTCCCAGCAAACCAATCCCTGTTTACGAAACTGATTGATTTGATTGTGGAGAAGACCTACTCGCCTGTCTGAACTGAAATGCAGTATCAGTACAGTGCTACACCCCTAGAAGCCTCTGTAAATTCTTCAATATTGCCAAGATTACTTTCCATAGACATGACCTCCTCCTCCTCAATGTTTATATTAGTTGTCCTCCCAGTCGTTGTTCGTTGTTGTCGTGGGGTCTTTGGAGGCGAAGGTCCAAAGTAGGGGTGATCCTCTACATTGGACCTCAGTCTCTGCCTAAACTAATTTTGCATGGTCTTTTCTTCTCTTCTTCATCCCCTTCTGACCTCTCCCTAAGGTGTGAGAGCCGTGTTGAAAGGATAAAAGGCTGGCTTTGGGTCAGTCCTGAACGGCCTCCGGAAGCTTGGGCACGGTATTCCCTTGGTTTATTGCCTAGGGTCCCCTTATGGAGGCCCTGAGGGATATACCGTTTTTTCTCCCCACTTATTTCAGTCATATCATGGCCAATAGTGAAAATTTTGTTTTACCCATATTAGGGGTATTAAGGCTTTCCCCATCACCAACATGTCTATCTAAATTTGATTTCTTGGTTCCCTATGCTTCTCCTTTGACCACGGCTCCGACCATTGATACTAATACCCCTTCCTCGATGTTTGCTACCAACTCTATCGATTCCGAATCATCCACCCAGGTCATTATTCAGAAGATATCCCTTCCTTTTTCCCACCGTCCTCCACTCCATCTCCTACAGCACAGTCTTCTTCATTGTCTAACCCCTCCTCCCTTTTACTACTCATCCTCATTGTTCTCCTCCCGAACGTACTACCTCTCTCCATACCACCCCATCTTCCTCCCGCCCTCGTTCTTCTAGTTTTTCATCTCTACAAACCTTTTGAGTACCCTTTTTGGCCCAGCCAAGTGGGATCGATTCTTTGTGATTCCCCCTACAACCGACTCCCAAGTTCGTGCCTACCCTGAATGACCTCACTGGCAAACCTACTCCTTCTCAGCCTCATTCATCCCTTAATACTAGAACCGGAACTGTTTCCATCTCCCGAGCTGGTTGCCATAGTGCTACACTGCGCCCCCCCCCCCCCAGGCCGTCGAATGTCTTACACCAATACTGCCAATATTACCTTCCGTGACCTCAACCTTGAAGTTTATATTGGAGTCCTGTCCGACGATATCGATTCCTCCCTTGTCAGTGTCAAATGTTGGCGTTTTGGTCACCCTGCCAAGCATTGTCGCTCCACAGCCCGTTGCCCTCTATGTGGCCAACCTGGCCATGGTAGTTTAAACTGCTCTGCACAATCACGCACGTGTGCCAGTTATGGTGGCTCCCACAATGTATTTTGTAGGGGTTACCCTACCAAGTTCTAGTCTGAGGTAGCATTCCAGAATCAATTTTGTCTGTTCTTACGCGAAGCCAGACAGGAAGCACACCGACGAGGTTTTTCTCTTGTACCATACTCCAGTGGTGTCCTTCGCTCTGCCCCTCCCTCTTCTCTCCAAAACGTTTCTACATCACCCCATTCTAAATCCTCCAATCTCTGCTCCCATTCCTTCTACATTCAAAGAGACTGCTGACATCCATTATCCGATTATCCTACTCTTCTTCCCCCTACACCCCTTCTTTCCACGCCCTCCCAACACATCCCATCCTCCCCCTTCATCTACACAAAAGGATAGGAATAGCAAGGAGGGAAGGGAGTCCCCTCCGATCCTTTCTGGCTACACACGTGACTCCCTATTGTCACAATAGTGCCCTTCCCCGGTTCCTCCTCTTGACATTCGACATGATACTTCCCCCCCCTGGTCCCTTGTCTCATTCAGTAATTCTTCCTCTCCTACTTTTACGACACCCATATTTATCCTTAACACTCAATGATTGTTTCATAATCACTTTTACGCTGAAATTTTCGCGCGGTTTCTGTTCTCACAGACCTGTATCTTCCATTTGGCCTAATCACCCTTAATCTCTCTTTCCCTTTTCATTCATCCCTGCCTTGCCCGATTTACCCACCCTCCTTACTCTCACCCTCTTTACTATCTTCAGTACCATTCTCTCCTAAAATACTGTACTCATTAAACCCTCTCTTTAAGCTTTTCGCTACTATACTTTCCTAAAGTGTTATAAGATCTTTGATACCTAGTACATTTATTTACTTTTTAACCATTGACCTCGTATAAGTGAAAGAAAGACGTATTACGCGTTTGTGAACGGGTCTCGCATTTTCGTCTTTGTAGTAACAAGAAGAGAAAACGATCACTGGTCCAATCAGTCACACGCCACACTTTCCCAACTCATTATGGTTCTTCATCCGTTGAATATAAACTCTTGTGAGTGATTTTGTTCATAACATAGTTTATCAGTCTCTACAATACAATTGACTAAGGGTAGACTGAATGGGAGTGAATGTGTACATCATAAATGCATTACTTACAAGCTGCGTTTTAATATTTTATTTTTTCAAACTGAAGTGGCAAATTCTGCCACAGCTTCCTCACACGAGACATTTCTCTTAGGATGTATAATAGATAAAAGTCATTCAGTCATCATTCCGACAAGAAATCTCTAAACAAGGTCTATATAAGTAAGGTCTCATCACTAAAGAGTTCTGCGCAGCTTTGGGTGATAAGGCCTTTGACGTCATTTGGTGGTGGATGAGAACGGGAGAAGGGGGGGTGTAGAAAATGGTAGGCTGGAGGAAGGAGATAACAGAAAACGATAACAAACTGAGCAAAAACTAAAGATATTAAGTGTGCGATTTGCACATTGGACTGATTTTACGGGTGACGATTGACAGCGCTTTTTTTTTAGGTACATATCGTATATTTTACTTGGTTTCTATTTTATATTTCCTCGTGCTGCAGCTTAGTTATGTAATAATAAAGGAGTAAAATGAGCAAAAATAGATGAGGTATAAATGATAATATTGTTTTATTTTATTAAGGTATTTAAAAAGTCGAAACGCTTTCGACGAATTTATTATAAAAAATATACAACTAAGATATCACAGCACATATCACATATATTTATAAAATGAAATTAGAGCTAATGTGTGTGTGTGTGTGTGTGTGTGTGTGTGTGTGTGTGTGTGTGTGTGTGTGTGTGTGTGTGTGTGTGTGTGTGTGTGTGTGTGTGTGTGTGTGTGCGTGTGCGCGCGTGTGTGTGCAGGTATGCCTACACATACCTACACATACATATATAAGCTAAAGGACAATAAATACATAGTCTCTAGAGTACAAATATTGCATCCACAACTGACCTCATGATTACCGTCGAACCCTAGGCTTAACTCTTTGTGACATCATACGCGAGACGGACGAATTTGAGTAGCTCAGTAATGTAAGGTAAAGTTAATAGAAAAAGACCCGTTGGTTAGTTGCTTTTGAGATTTGCGAAGACCTAGCTTCGATTGTGATTTGCGAAGTTCTAGCTTCGCCCGGGCCTTCGGCTATGGCCCGGCCTACCTAGCTTCGCCCGGGCCTTCCATATATGGCCCGGCCTGTGTCAGCTTTTTATGGCTGTCTCATTTTGTTCTCTGACACTCGGTGCTTACCGTGGCGGCGGGATTGCCAGTCGGCGCTCCATGATGTAAGCATACCGCATAATCTCTTTACCAGCACGGCGGCTGTTGTGGGCGGTCCGTGTCTCAGAAATTGTGTGTACTCACAATTCTGTAAGTAGTGTACCAGGGTGACGTTCGGCTCGCCACAATACATTCTACACCTCTCTTCACGGTCTATTGTCTCTATGATCTGCCATACACAGTGGTAACCTAGTCTGATATTGTGATGAATGACTTCGGTACCTCTGTTGATTACTTCAGAGAGTGCCAGTGGTTCATAGCCTGTGGCATCTTAGTACCAACTGGCCGAGGGGGAGGATCTCGTTTCCTCTCTGTGAAGCTGCAGGAGGAAGGTACGAGCACAGTACCCTTCTCCTTTAGGATTTTTCGGCTTGGTTGTATGATCAT